TTCAAAGTATGCTCTGCCTAGTCGGATGCATCCTCCGGACACTGCTTCCGGAGCATTCTGCGGACTCTGCATGGCTTACAACCATGCGGAGGTGGTAATAGTTGATTACCATTGGCCACAGTGCCTACCCACTACTTTTTGGTCCAATAAATATTTTTTTTAAATACATACATACATGCAAACATACTGGTCTCCCCTCTCACTGAGTTATTCACACATTGGTCAAAATAAGTCGCAACATTTTACTTAAATTCTCATTTCTTTTTCTCAAGTTTCGAAAGTTTCAAATTGTTCCATTTTAGATCTTGATCTTGAAAGTTTGAACATTTGTTCTTTTTTAATTATTTCACCTTAGTAGCTATTAAGCACAATTTAGTTATTTACATGTTCTTCTTAGTTTCGAATTTCACTTAAATTCCCATTTTGCTTTCTCAAGTTTTGGAAGTTCTAAACCGTTTTAATGTGCTTAATCTGTCATAGTTAATTTTTTTCCTTTCTCAGACTTTCAAGAAAGCTTACTCAGTAAATTTAACGCATGTTTCATAACATTTCCATTTTGTTCCTATTCGTTTCGAAAATTCCATATCGTGCCAAAGAGTTTACATTAGCCAAAAGAAGGTCGCCTATACACATTTCGCCTAAATTTTTGTTTCGGAAGTTCCAAATCATTCCATTGGAGATTTTGATCTTGAAAGTTTGAAACAATGTTTCTCTCTTGATTACTTAATTCTACTAACTTATTAAGCACATTTAATCCACGTTCCATCCCATGCACATGTTCCTACTAATTTCGAATTTCACTTAAATTCCCATTTTGCTTTCTCAAGTTTTGGAAGTTCTTACCCCTTTTGAAATCCTTCATCTGCTATAATTAATTTGTTTCTTTCTCGGCCTGTCATAAACTTCCAACTCATTTCCAGTTCGATCCTATTAGTTTCGAAAATTCCATATTGAACCAAACTGAACAGGTTGCTTAGTCATTTTCAAAATTTTGAACTCCATACAGATTTGTTAAAAAGATTTAAATTCTCTTTGTCTTTCCCCAGGTTGCGAAAAGGTTGATCCCTTAAGTTAAAAATATAGTTTTTTCAGCACTTGCATGTACAAGTCTTATGGATTAAATATGATACGTTCAATGACATTTCCATTTCGTTCCTATACGTTTTAAAAATTTCATATCATTGCAAAAATATTGCATTTTGTTTTTTCAAGTTTCGAAAATTCCACAACGTTTCGAACTACATATATTTGCTCGTTCAAAAGACATTTACGCATAATTTCCTTATTTATTTTATTTGGCTTTATATGTTTGGGATATCCCAAAGCATTCCAAATCTCAACTTTTTGCAAAAAAAAAAAACATTTCACACTTCGGTGCCATTTGCTTCGAATATTTCAAATTCGTCAAATACAGTGTCGGTCCTTTTCATGCGTTTCGAAAACTCTAAATCGTGCTAGGCGTTTGACTTGTTTCCAAAATTCCAATCGTTCCTATCCGTTTCGAAAGTTCCATTTCGTTCCATGCACGTTAAATGCGCAGACTGTCTAAGAAAATAGTTTTAAATCAAAGTATCGTAGAATTCAGGTGCTATAAAAGCATAACCAATTAAATTATAAAAGTTTTCCGCTAAATTTCATTTCAAACCATTTCTTTTCGTCTGCTTCCCATGACAAAGTCTAAAAACACAAAAACATTTGAACAATTGTAATTCATTATTTATTTATTTTACATTTACATTATTTTTTCGTGTACAATTTTCCACTTCCCCTCTTTTAGCGCCGCACTTGTTTTACCAACTCTGTAGTATTTATACCGTATTTTGTTTGCCAATTATTGCCCGTAATTGCTGAGTAATCAACACAATCCAGTATTTCCATTTGTGAGACTAACTTAATTCAGCTGCAATCAGTGCTAACTTAACCTAGTTAATCGGTCAGGCGCTGAGCGTGAAAAGAAAATTAAAAAGAAAAAGAAAAAAAAAAACAATTAAACAACGAAAATCGACGACAGACAACACTGACAGTGAATATTCCGGCTGTACCAAGTAATAAAGCTGACATGAATCCGCTTACACTATTCAAAAGTTGGCTATTTGTGTTGTCGTATTCTCGCCGTCAGGCGTGGCTTGATATTGAAGCTGTTGCTGTCAGCTACCTCCTCTTCCCCACTGACGCTCTTCAATGTAATTCAAGACAATAGCCCTGCGATTTGTACCTCGAGACAATAATAATTCATTCAATTTCTTTTATTCATTTTCCCAGTTTTTTGCTTATCTGTTACCTTGAGTAACGGTAAATTTTACAAATACGTCTACATAACCACGTAGGCACACAAACCTGTTTTGCCGCCCAACACTCTGTTGTGCTGCCCACAACTGAGTGGAAGAAAAGATTTTTATTTTTTGTTTATAAGTTTTTAATATTAATTTCTTTCTCTTCTCACTGAATTTTATTTATCAGTGCGTTATTTTATTTTATTTATTTATGCAGCTAAGTATGTATGAAGTTGCAGTGGCGTCACTTGAGTCAGGCCATAATTGCGTGACGGTAGGCACTTAAATATACTAAAGCCGTACTTTTTACATACACAGATACATTTGTTGATGCAATAAAGTAAGTAGCTTTTAATTATGTTCAGGAAATCCTTAAATTTGTAAACTTTTCGCGGCCGTTGAAAGTTCAATGGCAATATATATAGTTCACGACTTTTTTGTTTAAATCATTTCATGAAATTTTAACGCGATAAGCCTGGTTGAAGGGTTCATTGCTATCTCTGTAGAGAGTTAGTTTTGTCTGTATACTTTGCGGAAAGCAGCTGAATATATGTATTGTTAACAAATTTTGTAAAAAAAAGGTCCGCTGAATAAGCTAAATGCCATTCTTAGCGAGCTGAATACTCTAGCTGCATCGCTAATTTATAAAAATAGTTAAAATATAGCGCACAGGTAGTTGCTAAATAAGCCGAATACGTTAAATAACTGAATAGAGTAAGAATTTCCCAATTCACTACAAAAATATGTAGCTTAATACATTTAAGCATTAGCGAGAAGCTTAATAAATCTGGCAGAAATTATATTTTATACAGAACGTGTCAAAAAATTAAAAAAAAATCGTTGCTGAATAAGTGTAACGCCACTTTTGGCAAGCCAAACGCTGCATCTGTATCAGACATTTTTGCAAAGCGTAGTAATATAGTTCAAAATGCACCAGAGGTCGGAACATGTTTTAGCTGACTTATGACTAACTAAATACCGTGGTAAATTTCTTGCTAAATAAATTAAAAACCTTACTTTCTAAGATTTTGAGAGACTTTACAAAGATATGTAGCTGAATAGATTTTAGCATTAGCGAGGGCCATAGTTAAACTAATCAAAAAAGTACTCTATGCTAAATATCGCAATAAGCTAACAAAAAATGCTGCTGCATGGCCAATTTTTGAAAATAGTTTACATATTTTCCAAACGAGTTGCTGAATAGCTGAATATTTAAAAGAAAAATTTAAAAGCTGAGCTGAGAATTCCGAAAGTGTAAAGAGATGAGCTGAGTATTTACGAGCAAGAAACTCGTACGCAAACTGTGCTGAATAAGAGTATGAAAATATATTTCCTCAGATCAGGTAGCGACCGGAATGTCAACTTCCTGGTGAGAATAATTCTCACGCAAACATTTCTTGAGTATGTCCAATTATTTAATGCACAGTGAAAAATAAGGAACACATGTACACTGCTGAATGAACTGAATATATTTCATAGTGGGCTGAATACTTGTGTTGTGTTACATTTACATTGCTCAAAGTATGACTTAAAACCTGTCTTTATGTAAGCTGAATGCAGTGTAACATGGGCGAAATGTTACAGTTTAGTCCAAGTTTCTTAATGCAAGCTAAAAGACTTCTGAAATTAAGTGCTGAATTGCAAGCTGTCTAACTTAAAATATTTTTTTATAATGTCTTGGTTTGTGAGTTGAGGAAAGAAAGAATGTACAAAATGCTGCTGATGCGATTAGACCGTGAGTTATGACTGAATTAGTAAATGTAGTGTGTTTTCTGAAAGATCCGTATATGCCAATTTATGAGCTGAATGCACTGCGAATTGGGCTGCATGGCTTCTTTTCATAGGATCTTTAAATATATGTATATATAAAAAAAATGTGTGAAATTTGATTAAATGCTTTAAAATACTTTATGCTAAACTGTTAAGCACATTGCTGAACGAATAAAACAAATGTGAAATATGCTGCTGAATAAGCTAGTCACCTGGCTGAATAAGCTGAACGCTTGCCAAAAGTATTAGCTGTACAATCAAAAAAGGTCCATACTTTTTTAAAATACTATATGTATTTACCTGAATACAAGCTGGTTAAAGCATTGATATGAACTAGTTAATGCGCTGAATACTTCAGATTAATTATATTAAATGTTTTGCTAAATTATCTTAATATACTGCTTACAAAGCTGAATGAGTTCTAAAACTTGAAAAACTGATCAAATGAACACAATAACTAACGATAACTGCATAAAACTTGTTGCTGAATTGGCTGAATAATTTTATTTATGCCAAAACTTCATCAAAAATGTAACAATATGGATATCAAACGAAAGGTATTCGAAAGTTCTTTCAGACTAAATATAATAAAAAAACGGCCTTTTCGCCAACTATACATACATATTTGAAAACAGAAAACAGTCATTCTTTAGTTTCTAAGAGTTTTCTAATTTAAACACTCGCAGCCAACATGGGATACCTAGAGCTTTTTAAGGTTTTATATAAAGTTTGTTAAAGTTAAAAGTTTTTTTTTTTACACAAACGCGGTGCCCATATAGGCGAATTCCACGCCACGCTACAAA